GACAAAGCTGAACATGCTGTAGTTTCATCTGCTTTCCACAGAGGACATTTCTGTATCTACACCCCACCAAACCTTCTGTAGCACCACTGATAACCTTGGCATCRAGAGAGAGTTTTACTCACAAGTTGGGTGGCCATAGATTTCACTTTATTAAAACAATGTTGCTGCTGCATTCTGGCTTCWGTCATGGGGGAGTGACAGAAAAACCTGAGCACTGGGAAAGCTGCATTTAACAAGTGGGAGATCAACTGGAATTACTACAGTGAATAATTGCATGTATAACAACTGTGAAGAAAAGGTGAAAAGGAGGGAAATGTAACTTTATCCTCAAAATTATTTGAAGTAATTCCTTTTATTATTCTAATAGTTTGCATATTATATGCACCTTTAGACTGTAAACTATAACTCCAATTTAAACTTCCTGTTTTCCATGCTTTTCTTATTTTTCTTTTCCAGGTTTAATTTTTTCCAGAATTCTACCTTCTTTTCTTTCAACTTGCTGGCTTTCTTTTGTTGTAGATTTATCTCCAAGTATTCTTCCTTTAGGTTRTAAGATGGCCACTKGACCAGACCCTCTCCGTTAGGATTTCTGTAAACAGCAATAAAGAAAGAGTGAGTGCCCTTTTCAGTCACAGGGGAATTCAATCACASAAGTTAGGACAGAATCAACAAAACAGCCAATTCCCCATGGAGTCAGTGCAGAGCAGCAACGTGTGTCATCAGTCTCATGATTCTTACCCGCTGCGAGCAAAGTTYGCCCAGTACTTCATAAGAGTTCTGCTGAGCTTCTTCTCTTCCTCTGTAACTTCACCTGAAAGACCAAACACAGAATTGTTACTCAGTGTGGAAAATATCCAGACATTGCTACTGCAGGAGCAGCATTTCTGTGTGTGAATACGCTGTAACAACTGAGCCATTGCAACAGAGACACGRTGCCAGTAAAKATCAGTGATGCAGAAAGCATCAGGGGATTTCAGCACTTCTCATCAATGTCAGCACTCCTYATCAGTGGCTTCWGCATTATTACCCTTASTCTACMACTTGGGGAATTTGGGAACAAGGAAATATGGGGACGTGACTGTCACATTGCAGGAAACCAGAAGCAGAACCAAAAACCCTCCATGTGTCCTGCATCYCAGTCAACTCCAGGAATGGGCCTCATGGCTTTGTTTCCTGGATGCCATTCTAGTTCCTTGGGACTGGAAGTCTCGCTATTATTCAGAACATGACTAGGCAAAGATTTCTTCTTTCTCACACAAGATGATGCCACTCCATTTCTCAGAAATTCAAGAGTAATTATGTAAATATAGTTACACATAAGCTCACTGTATCGCTAGGTGAGAATTATTTCATCAGTCCCATTGTGTTATT